GCGGCGGGGTTTTTTTTTGCCCTCTCCGGGTTCCGGAAGCTTTCCTTGAGCCTCCGGGAGGGCGAAAACAGCCTCCCCAAGCTCTGGAGGTTTTCTGGAAGCCGGAAACAGCCCCATTTCCAGCCTTTCCGAACTTTTGGGAGGTCCGTTTTCTGCACTCCCCGAGCCTGCACTCCCCACCCATGCCTTGCACTTACCTGCATCCAAAATGGGCTGCGTGGGAATTCCTGGGAGGGGAGGGGACGAGTGGGTGGGGCCAGCCAGGAGTGGGATTTGGGGGTTCTCCAAACTACACAGAATCTTAGCTAGTGGCTCTCCTGGATATTACTATTCACTTTTTGTTCTTCTACTATATGTTAACAAGCAGATTCATGTAATCTTTCTGCACTGATTAAGTTATCTGTTGCACCAGTGGTGGGATTCAAATTTTTTTACTACCAGTTCTGTGGGTGTGGCTTGATGGGCATGGTGTTGCTTGGTGGGCATGGCTTGGTGGGCATGGCAGGGGAAGGATACTGTAAAATCTCCATTCCCATCCCACTCCAAGGGAAGGTTACTGCAAAATCCCATTCCCTCCCCACCCCACTAACCTGCTTTCCAGCTCCATTCTCCTGTGCAGGGCAACAAAAGAAGACCCAGACAATCAGCTGGGACTCGGGAGGCAGAGAATAGATGGGGCCAGTCAGAGGTTTCCTAGAACTGGTCAGAACCTGCTGAATACCACCTCTGTGTTGCACTGAACAAAATGTAAAGCCCCATTTGTTGATCCATCTGGTCCATTTCAATCACTTCAGCTCTAACTGGAAGATTAGTGGATCCCTAGCAAACTTCAATAAGGCAGTGTGTACCATAAGATTGGGAAAAAACCCCATCCTGATAATAAAAATCTTCACTCCTGAGCAATATCCTTATTTCTAAGAAAAGAGGAAATTACTTCATTGCACTATTTGAAGAAAAAAAAAAAGATAAAATCTCTTATATAAAGAACATTGCTATACCTATATTTTTGGGCTATAGCTAATTTGTTCTTTATTAAGAGAAAAAGTAAAAAGTACAGTGGCTCTTCTCGTTAGAACATTGGATTGAAGGTTAGCAAGCCTGCGCTTGAGACCCTAGTGCTGTCATGGGGCAAGGTGAGCTCTCATCCTTTGCTCTAGCTCCTGTCGACATGAAAAGAGCCCCCAACTGAATATCATCTGGGAAAATGATGATGTCACCAGCTAATCTTTTCAACCCAGTGCCTCAGTGCTTCTGACACAAGTGCAAAAGGCAAAAAGTAGAAATTGGGAACTTTTGATAAGATTACACAGATTATTGAAAACAATTTGTGCATGACTGATCATATTGAAGAAAAGAAAGGAAACTATATTACCTGATTTGTTTCAGAAATAAGATGGAGAATGCTGATACATTATTGGAACACATCAGTTAAATAAAAAAAGCTTCAGTATATTATTTAATATATTTATTATTATCCATTGTTTCCTTGTATTTTTCTCTGTTTAGAGTGGTAATAAAAAAATAGAACAAGATATTGATTAATAGACTTATTAAAAATAGATGGACAAATGATCAGATATTGATAGAAAGACAGTAAATAGTTTGTATTCTAATGTGCATAGGCTTTGGGGGAGTAGCAAATGATGAAATATGGATTGTGATGTCATAAAACATGATATCATGATGCAGGTATGAAAGATGCAAAACTTGTGCCATAATAATTTAACATACATTTGATAATTTTGACATCATATTGATTAGGAAAACGTGACAATGATTACTTGACAAGATATAATGTATATTAAAAGAAGTGAAAATGTCTTTTATTTGATTCTGCCCACTTTGTTATGTGGAAGTGAAAGTTGTGTGTGATAGGATAAACAAAAAATTAATCTGAACACAGTGGAATGGGGTGTATGTAGTAAATAAATCAAGGAATGTATTAATGAAGAGATAGGATGAAGAATGATTGATGCACGAGTGTAGATTGAATTCAAATGTGAGGTCAAAGGTCACACAGAATGAATGAGGACCAAATTACAAAAAATGTACGAAGAAATAATTCATAAAGAGGAAGGAGGGGAATTAGAAGGAAGTCATACTTAGACAGAGCATGGAAAGAAAGAAAAGTAAGAAAGAGAAATATACAAAATGGCTGTATGGACAAGATGAAAGTAAACAAGAGCATCCTCATACACTATTAATAAGTGTGACTATGCCCACATGACTGACATTCACATAAATTTTCTACTTGCATTATGATATATATAAAAAGGGGTGTGCTGCCTCATTGACTTTTTTAACCTCTCTCTATGGGTATCCCTATAAGCAAGAATGGCTTACAAAAATGCAAGTTATGGGGAATACACTGAACAGTATCAGTATAGACCATGTTTAGCTAGGTTTCCCTTTTTTAATTTCTTGCCTGTAATTCTTTAGCTCACTATTTCCCAGTCTTTGCCTTCACTTCTCACAATTCTAGTTATGTATTTATGTATATCTGTAACAGTATAATGATACTATAACAGCATGATAAACTATCAATAAATATGTGAAAGATCAGTGTTATATCGTTTTTCTTTGCCATCCTTTGCTTTACCTTCATTCCTTGTATTTTTATTTATATTTATATATTGCACTTAAAAACCAATAAACTCACTCATAGAGTAAATCTGTGCAATGTACAAATAGGTGTAAAAATCTACATTGTATATAAATATTATAGGGAAAGGCAGTTGTAAACAAGAATAAAATAATTAAAAATAAAAAGCTAGGGAGTGGCTTCAGGGAACTAACCAGCCCTATGGCTGCATATGCTCCTCTGTGGGCCACAGGTGAGTAGGCAAAACCAGGTCTTCAGATATTTCCAAACCACCAGGAGATTGGGATCCCTCTTCACATCTGCGAAAAATATTCCAAAGGGCAGGGGCAACGGTGGAGAAGATTCTTTTCCTGGACCCCACCAGTCAGAATTCTTTAACTGACAGGGTCTGCTTTTTAACTATTAATTTCAGTACTATGCGTTAATAAAAGGAAAGGGGGTGAAAAAAGCAAGTAACAGAGAAGGCAGGAATAGAATGATCAGTGTTGACCTGCAACATATATGGCAACAACATTTTTTTTCTGCATTTGGCATTCTTGCAGGCCAGATGTAATAGTCCTGAGCAGAAATAAACTTTAAATTTGGGTAATGTAAAGAAAACAGTCATATATATTGTTATCATTAAAATAACTACAATTTACCTATCTTTGCAGTATTGAGTACTAAGATTTGTAGCTCCAAAGTAAGGCAGCTACTTTCACTTTTTTCTTATTATAGAAAATGGAGCTCTGTGGTAAAAGCAGGCGTTTTTAACTGTTAAAATCTGGCACGCAATAATCTCATTTATATGCCATATCAGTCCTTATCATTTGTGTGTACAGATTTTGGGAAGAATTGTAGCCTAGACTATTATATGGAGAATGGGTAGATATTATCACAAAATATTAAGAAAACCTGAATAGCTTTTTGTATATTTGATTAAATATAATCTGGGATATACACAAGCATGGATGTTAAAATGGATAACTTTTAAAGGGGTTTTAAAAATAAATTGAATGAGTAAATTGTATGGAAAATTACAGAAAACTAGGCTATAGTATGTTGTTCTAGCTATTCTCAAATTTCCTAAGAATGGAGTAGAAGAATCATAACAGTGAATGAGCATACAGGTTTGTGGAAATTTTGAGTGTGCGTTCTCAATTGGTGTCTGATTTTTGAAGTAATTGCTACTTTTGAAATGAAGTACTATGGGATTTCTATTTGTTCACAGACAGGATTTCCCGGAACTAAGGGTACTATTTTTTCCCCCTCTGTGCTTTCCATTATTTATATCCACCAGTGAGCTACAACTTGTGATCTAGTAGTATTAACACTAGGCATATTGGCAATATGTCAATGTTCATTCAATATGGCTTATCCCAAGATATGAATGTCTATTGCTCTCCTTCTATCAAAACTTCAGCAGATGTGTAGAGGTCACAACTCCCAGCATGAAGACCCAAATTAAAGTTGTGAAAATTGCACCGCAACACACCTGGGGAATGCCAAGCTGGGTGATGCAGTCTATTAAGTACTGAATTCCACCTGTTTGTTACCGGACTACTAACTTTGTCTTCCTATTAAAGCTAAGCTTTACGTTGAAATATGTTGCTTTGCTGAGAGTACATCTATAAATGTATACAGACACTGCCCTGTCCTTAAACAAAAATAATATAAAGTAAAGACATTACTGTGAAGAAAAACAGTTTTCCCAGTTCTGGTTTCAGGGTGATCTGTGGATATTTCACTATTGCGGCAGCAACTTGGGAAAACATGAAGTCTTCTGGAAAGTAGAAACTGTCAATCCTTAGGTGCTGAAATTCACAGGAAAGCACGCACGCACGACTACAATCACAGGGTTACGTGGGAAAAATAATAATCATCGGAGCCGAGAATTATTAGATTTTCACCATCAAATCTACGGAAAAACTCTAGAATGAGAGAGATACATTGTTTATTTTGAAAAAAAAAGTTGCGCACGCCTCACCTTTTCCCTCTTTTGGAACTTACGGTCCTTTCCCCCCCCCTTTTTTTTTCAAGCGACTTTTAAAAAAGTTACTGGAACTTGCGCTGCTCAGTTCGCCTCTCCTTCCGTCTCAGCCGATCACTTTCGAGTGCATTTCTCTAGTTGGATACTATAGAAATGATCCCTGAAAGTATAGTCTCTTCTAATCTGTCCCACTCCTAGTTCCCCCCACGCCCCACTCCCCCCCGGGGGGGATGTGCGTGCTCGCGCGTGCCTCTTCCTCCCCGCGCAGCGCATTCTTGCAGGACGGGGGCTCTTCCAAGTCTTTCCGTCGAGTAGCGGAGTGGCACGGAGAGGGTTAACGCTCAGGAATGCACCCGCCAGGAATGTGCATGCAGATGAGATGGATGCTAATCTCATGCTAATGAGGGGCTGCTGCTGCTGCCGCCGCCCGGGACTGAGCCGGTTCTCCCCTCCCCCCCCCGAGCATAAGCAGCGCCTCGTCTTAGCCTGGAGCCCCTGACCCCCTTGCTGCCAATACGAAATAAGGCCCGAAGGCGGAGGCGCCGTCCAGACATGGTGGACTGAAACTCAGGAGAGTTTCCTGGCCCATTGCACGATTCTGCCTCCCTCCACCCGCCCAGAGCTCCAGGGGAAGGAGGGGGCGTCTTTTCCCGCTTCCCTCCTTTTCTTTCTTGTTTGTTGTCCCTATGGAGCAGCTATACCCCGACTTCGACCATGCCTAGAAAAATGGGGAATGGGCAATTGCCCTTACCCGACGGTTGGGAGGAGGCGAGGGATTACGACGGGAAAGTCTTCTACATCGACCACAACACCAAGCAGACCAGCTGGATCGACCCTAGAGACAGGTGGGTGTAGATCGCCTCTCCAAATCCCAGTGCGCGAAGAGGAGGGGGTTGAACACCGGGGGGGGGGAGGAAATTGGCGTCAGGCGCATTTGTCCTCCTAACTTTAGGAGGAGTTGGGTTTGTTTTTCCCCCGCCTCTCTCGTGCCCTCCCCGGTGTAAGAGCCTCACATGCTTACATAATAAAGATAATGATAACAACAACAACAACCCGCAAGGAAGAAAAGGGGAAGTGTTCCCTTCCGCCCCAGCATTATCTTGGAAGGAGAGGAAGGTGGTAGCGTGCAAGTTTGTGTATTTCTGGCATGCCGTTGTCTGGCAAGGGTGTGTATTGGAGACAGAGAGGAAAAGTGACTGTAGGTTGCAAAGTGAGAAAAAGAGTCGTAAGAAAAAGCAAGAACTCCGGTGAACATTCTCTTTCTTGTGACTGGAATCAATTGGTCAATGCAGATTTTTTTAAAAAATGAGTATATGTTGAAATGTTTCCCACCAGACTATGATTTGCCTATAGAACTGAAACTGAGGTTCTCTCTTTTTATAAAACTCCTAAGTGAAGTTGTGGGATTTTAAAAAAACAATTGTTTTTCTTTTAAAGAATATTTAATTTTCACAGAAGCACTTGGCAATGTCTCTCTGTGGCTATTAAAAGAAGTGGGTCGAGTCAGAGGATTTTTAAACATAGTTTTCTCTTTACATACTACTACACAAAGAAAAAAGATGCTGAATCTTCAGAGATATTGGCATTCTGGGTTTTGAAAGTTTGGCTAGAATATAAAACATCTTCCTGGTGAAAAGGTAAAATATATTTAACAAATCCTTTAGGTACACAATTAAAAGGGTTAAATTAGTTAGTCAATTTGCTCATCTATTTTTGGAACTGAAGATTTTATCTGGAATGGGTTTTAACATTTTCATTTTTCTGAAAACCTGGCTTATTCCAGACAAAAGTATGTTACCTTGTTTTGAGCCTCAGATTTGTACCATCTTATCCTTTTCAAAGGTAAAGCCCTTGTAAAGAAATTGAGAGAAATCTAATCAGGCCTGGCACTTGAGTTTTTAAAAGTAGGCCTCAACTGAATCCTTTTATATCTCTTGGTCTCCTTAGATTATAAGAAGAGAGATTTATTAAGATAATAGAGGAAGTTTAAACATTTCTTTAAAAATAGACAGGAAAGTCTGTATTAATTTTACAATAGAATGTCTCATATTTAATACTTTTTATGAAGAAAGTAATTTTCTTTTAATTGCTACCATCACAATTAAGTGATACTGAAATCTAAGATTACTTAAATTAAGGAAAATATTGCTCTGATATATACTGTAATCATTAACATACATAATTCTTCAATCACTTTTCAGACGTGCTGCTTATCTTTATTAAACTAATAAAATCCAGTATCGCTTAACTAATAAAAGCCATTAGAAATTTATGTCACAAATCATGCTGAATGATTAATGCAAGACTTGTTTTAAATTTCCTGGTTGAAATAAGAAAGGATAGCTGTAACATTTCTGATAGTATCAGAGTCATGTGCTTCTATACTGAAAGTTGTTATATGCCTTGGTTGCAGTGTCAAAACTTCCTCCCTGATGAATGGATTAATAAAATTGATTTATATTTATATATGTTGATATGAAAATTTACACTATATTGTTTCTGAAAACTTAGAAGAACTTCTTAAACAGAATAGGAGCAATCCTTGACATGATTGGGTATTCAAGTAAACACATGCTTGGTATTTTAACATTCTACATTTTCAATTGTTTCATTTTAGCTGATCTTATAACTTTTTATAGGCTAAGCATATTTTTTTCTGAAAACAAATATAGTATATTAGGTACATTCAGATTTCTTGATATTCAGACTAAAATTAAATACTGATTTGTTATGTTGGCTCTCCTAAAATGTGACTACAACTAATCCTACGTTTGGTTTTTCTTTTCATCTAGATTACTACAAATGCAACTCTATAACCTTTTTTTTCAATAAAGGAAAGACATATAACTTATATTTTGTGATAATGAGGCTTGAAATAACTACTATTTCATTAATGTCCTTATTTCAGAAGGCTTGAGACATTTTCAGTCCTTAGCTTGACTGTATTTTCTTTCAGAAAAGCTAATGAAGTGAAGTCCTTGTTTAAATAGCGTAGGAGACAGTGTTTGGAGTAACTCTATTAATGCCTGTCAATCTCTTTACTCACTGTTACAAAACAAACAGAAAGAGGTTGTACTTGGTACTTGAGATAATCGATAACTAATGTATAGGTCTTGACTTCAGACAAAATTATGTACAAAAAGAAGGAAAAATAGGTAATTCCCTTTTATCTGAATTCAATATATACATAGTTTGATTCTTATTCTCTGATAATATACAGTATTTAACAGGTGAACTTTTTATTTTAATTCTAACTTTGAAATTAAATCTTATTATGTTATCAAGTGACTTACTCCCAATAAAATATACACAAATGTATACCAGGTTTGTTTTGTATGATTACACAGAAGTAAAGAATCTACTTTCAACCCTTATGCACGGGTATATTTGATCATAGTTGGCATAGTTTTAGATGCAGTCTTATTCACACTAGTGTCATTTGAATTATAATCATTCTATCTGAGGCTGCTTTATAAACCAAGTGGAAACAATACTGTTGCAGCAGCTTGTATTATTATGGATACATTGTGATTTGGTTATAAGCTACACTGATGCTAGAACTGCATTGGTTACAGTTTGCTTTGAAATAAATTCAAAGTGCTTATTTCACTTTTAAAACTATGGCTATTGTAGCTTACGACCTACATATCTTTGGAATTGCTTTGTTCCAATTATTTATGTCCATCCAAAATACCAGGTAAAAAAGGTTTCTTAGAACCTCTTCACCCAGGTAAAGTAATCTTCAGGGATTTGAAGATGGGACATTTCAGGTGCTGTTCCTGTTCTTTGAAATAGCATTCCTCCTAAGAATTGTACCTTGGGGTAGATGAATTGATTGTGCCTTTGGTTTGAATTGGATTTGTTTATTGGAATTATGAATTGTCTGTTACTTATTTTATTTTTATGTAAGTTTTAAACCTTATTGTATAGAATAGGGCATCTAAGCCACTCAATTGATTTTATGAGGCCCAGAACCTGTAATTGGAATGTATGCAAGTAGTTTTCAGCTTACAGACATGCGTTTAATGATGGTTCAAAGTTATGATAGCCTTGAAAAACGTGACAAATGACCTGTACTTGCACTTCAAACAGTCAAACTAGCCCCATGACCACATGATTATAATAGTGGTGCTTGGCAACTGACTCACATTTATGACAGATTGCAGCATCTTATGGCCAGTGATCACAGTTTGCAACTTTTTTTTGCCAACTTTAAGCAAAAAAAGTTCATTGAGGTACCTGGATTCACTTAATGACCATGTGAGTCATTTAACAACATGACTCACTTAACAATCACCATAAAAATTATCAGAAAATCAGGTCCAACTTGTTTTATGATTCCAGTTATTTATTATGAAAATTTCAGACCCAATTAAGGTAATAAATTGAGGACTACCTGTCTTGATGTCTGGAGCTGCTATAATAAAGACCAGATCCACCCTAAATCATCTTCTTTTTAAAAAAAGTACTTGTTTTCATTGCTAGAACTGCTTTTATGATGGGATGTTCAGGTTGCATTGATGGCCCTATTGCAATATAATATTTGGCATAAATCTGAGCCATTTTCAATAGAAAGTTAAATATTCCACACTTCATATAACAGAAATGTAGTCATTTGCAATGCAACAAGTTCATAATGGTCTTAATAAAATCAACTGTTCCAGAAATACGTATCTATAATTAATTTTTGACCCCCATGTGTTGCAATATTAAAACTTGTATGCCACTTTACTCAGTGTCTCCTGGTGGCTCACAACAATAAAAAATTACAATCAAATCACTAAGTGTAGGAGGTAAAAGAAAAAATATGGCATGCACAATGAAGTCTTATTTTCTCTTTCTAAAGGCCTGGGTGAAGTGCCAGGTCCTTGTGGCTGTTCTAAACAACTTGCTCCAGAGGGCAAGTGCTGCTATAGACAAGGCAGATTTCTAGAGTCTGAATTTCTAGAGCAGGGGTGTCCAACCTTGGCAACTTTAAGACTTATGGACTTCAACTTCCAGAATTCCTCAGCCAGCTTTGCTGGAGTTGAAGTCCACAAGTCTTAAAGTTGCCAAGGTTGGACACCCCTGTTCTAGAGTATGTTTAACTGAAGAAACCTGGAGTACACCAACCCTGCAGAATCAAATTAGTCAAGCAGATTTGACAGGCGCTCCCTCATGTAATCATTGCCTGTGCCACATAAGGCTTTATCTGGAATTACCTGGAATCAAACCACCAACCTGTGCAACTTGCTCATGCTGGTGCATTCTGGACCAGTTGAAGTTTCTGTGTGATCTTCAGGTGCAGCCCCAATTAGCAGGTATTGCAGTAGTCAAGCGGGGTGGGGGGGGGGGGGAAAGCTTTTTTACAAGTTCACTAAAGGTGGTGGAAATTCCCATCTTGGCACTTAGATTTTCCAACATAGAAGTCCCATTATACATTTTCTACAATCTGTCTGATGATAAATACTGTCTATACATCGTTTTTTTTATAATTGTCTTTCGGATTGTAACATACTGTAAATTTTACCCCCTTTGTTCATATATTTTCCCTTTGCTTCATTTGTTCATTATATCCAAAATGTTTAGCTTCATCATGCTCTATTTAACTTATTCAGGCTATGTTTGCAGTCTCAAATGTATATGCTTTAGCAATAAGATAGTGATTTTTGGTATGTAACTAAATATCAAAGATAATTATATCATATTCAAAACCATAAATTATCAAGTTTAAATCTTTCTGAGAGTTACATATATGTAAACCACTGACATTTAAATCCTCCTGATATCAAATCTTCTCTTGATTTTATTTTAAATGCATCTGGTGAGTATTCTAGTAAATCATTACATTTTAGCTATTTCTGAT